TCATCTTATTATGTTCATAATACAATAAAAAACATATTCACCAAGTTTTATCTGGATATGAACACTAATAAAGAAGAAAATTGGGAATTATTAATTTTATTTATTCGAACTTCCTGACTTCTGTGACGTAGTTTAAGTCTTTTTGCATGCCGGGAGTGGATTAATCTCATTTTAAGTCTTGTTCGTTAATCATCTTATAACGCGATTTAAAGCGCATCGACGACTTTTGGCGTAGCTATTAACCAACTAATAATTCAGAAAGAAAAGTGATCAGCCGTGCAACTTTTAAAATTAAAATACACCTTTTATATTTTAAGGATTTCTGATATGATTATAGTAATAAAAGTAAATCATACAATAGAATGTTTTTATGATTTTGTTTCCGACGGATATGTTGAACAAACATATACAACTGATAGTGTAATAAAAATGCATGTTTGTATTCTCACCTATTACTTCAGTCGAGGATTTGTCTTACTATACAAATCCTTGCTTCAGTCTAGTACTGTGTAAATACAATGCATGTGTATTATACTGACACCACCTGGTAAAGGCGTGGTTAAATTCACGGTTATTAAAAGATTAGCATTATGTAATTTTAATCTTTTGATCTTCACAAGAGTTTTGTTTGGCCTCAAGGGTTCACCGTTGTAAGTATGAAAAACATGGGGGGAAAAAGGATAAAACAGAAGTGCGGGTTTGAGACAGGATATTTTTTTTTATTATTTGGGGAGGAATATGGTGGCAAAATAACTGAATCGCCGTTTTATATTTTTTAATAGTTTGCGTTAGCTCAATTTTTTTAATAAATAAGTGATCATTTTGTTGTAACATCGAAATTCTGAATTACTTTCAATTAAATAATTTTATAGATAAAAATGGCTCACGAAAACGAGCGTATAAATCAAAACTGTACTATTTCAAATTATCATCGGTTATCTTGAATATTTATTTAAATGTGCAGAGAAAATTATCAGTTACATTAATATAGTTTGGTCCGTCCAAAGCGATCTACATTTACCTAATCGGGAATTCCCTGATTAAAATATTCTAAATCTCACAACGTATAAATTCTTTAGCTATTTGACCAACGATGTTTTAAAAAATTAACAGAATCAATCTAACGTCAACTTTCCTTTTTTGAATGGAGAAAGACCGGCGGAATAAATTTTCAATGTGCTTTATATCTTGTACCTTTGCAAGACTTATCATTCATTCATAAACCCACTCTAAACCAGAGACATATATACGTCTGTTTAAACTTACAAGAAAACTCCTAAAACGGACAAGCAGTATATTCTTTAAATTTCTGTGATTAAATACCAAGAAAGAAAAAAATCCCGAAATTAATTTGATACTCAATATTTTTCCTGAAAAATATTCACATCCTCATTCGGTCTGAAAAAAAGATAAGAATTTGGTATACAGAACATGCAGAAGTGTGAATGTCATAAAACCTAATTGTTATATCAGAAACCATTATAAATGTGAACCTGTATACGTAAGACCTCATGGGACGTCACCTAAGATCACCTAACCACATACAGGTAATATACAAGTACCTCTGTTATACCCGGAAATGTCAAGGTTAATCACTACTGATACAGAATATACCAATGCAACGAAAATTCTGATGATTGTGAAGCATGACCATTCATTATTTTAGAGGCGTCTTAGGTGAGGGATTGCCGGAACGATTAAATTTAAATTCTGACTAGATTTTTTTTTTCTCAATTTAAATCACTGAACTAATAAAAAGAAGAAAACTACGCCCAAGAACAGAATTCTTCTTGTAAATTCATAAATACACCGTTCTTATTTTGTAACTTTCGATAGACATGAACTCCAACCCCCCTCCCCCTCCCCAGGAACAGTATATCTTACGAATGTAGGACAGAAAGTCACAGGACAAAAAGTCACGGACAAAAAGTCACAATTCAGTTTTGAGATTATTTTTCTTTGAACAAGAAAAAACTAATTTAAAAAGAAATATTTTGGTTTTTCCTTAAACTATTATTTATAAAGCAACTTTGTAATTAAAATTTATGCAATAAATATTAATAATGATCAAATAATTGCTATGAAAACAAAATGTCAAAGAGACTTGATCCTTATGGCTTCATGGTGCCAACAAATATATCCTTTGCACAATAAAATTTAATAAATTTTCATTTATCAAGGCTTATGAACAATTTCCTAAACTTAAAAATGAATATATGTAATAAAAAGAAAATATTTCAAGATCTTTCTCTTATATATTCAAACAATTGTCAACAAACTATTTGTGACTTTTTGTCCTATCAAATTTGTGACTTTATGTCCTGTGACTTTTTCTCCTGTGACTTTCTGTCCGTTTACCTATCTTATATGTATATATTCCTGCCAAAAGTAACAAAAAAGGAGAAAAAGAAAGACATGAACGGTAAATCACATCAGATTCAGATATTTATATAGTTGATTGTCGTTAGCTAGAGATGTATACATGTCTCTGCGTTAACTTATAAAAATAACAGGAAAGTATAAACTTGAAATAGATTTATGATGAATACTTTGCAACTGCGACACCCCTTTTTATCACAGCGTACATGCATGTATTTAAATGACTGTCCGTTATTTCGATGACAATCGTACGTAAAATCCTATAGTTCATGGTGAGACTTTTTGTACCAGATATGCGACTTTTCGTATTTATATTTTCTCTTATATTACTCTCATTTGATATTTATGCATAAGTGCAATATTGGGAATGGTTTATTACCACCACAAGTTAACTAAATAAATTAATCAACCCTCTAGCTGACCAGACGTTAATACAACTACTATCAGTCTATCCGCAGTGAAGTTTCTTTATTTCTTCAAATAGGCTTTTTGGGGATCATTAGTGTACGTCCAGTGGCATATATATTACATGCATGTCGGAACAGGAAAATTGACATCAGGTACTTTTAGAACCATGTTCACATTATTATAAATTATACCCAACAATTGTGATGATGACGAATTTCTTAAACTGTTCAAAATAATCTTATTGAAAAATAAATCTGTGATTTTACTATGTCCATAACTTCGATGAACCAAAGCAAGTAATATATCGAACTGTATTTAAATAGATTGGTTCTGGATGTTTCTCTCGTATATTCAATTTACATGTATATATTCTAAATTGCGACTATCTATAGTTCCGTAACCTTCTATCTAGGCGTATAAACCAATGATCGACAAGTGCGTACATTTTGTTAAATCAATATTTGTATGTTTCAAGATGTCCATACTTATTGACAACGAGTATATACTTACATTTTCCCCAAATTACCCTTGGAAAATATGTAAATAGATTTTTTATTTTATCAAATTTTTTTTTTTTTTGGAATTATTTAGGTTTTCATAAATATCATTCTTTACACCAGAAAGGTTATTTATAAACAAGCGTATGAGTTTAGTAATGACTAGTATATCACTATCGGACACGCAAGACAAAGATGTATATTACACCTGATAGTTTCAAAATGGAAAGTTACAAGTTATCGGCAATACCCTCAGAAGTGAAGTAATGCACGAACTTGCTTTACGTAATTGTGTAATAAGAGTTTTAAAGCCCGACAGGAAATCGCTTGAATACCTGGACGTGTCACCTCACAATACCTCTGGGATTTCTTAAGCCATGCTAGTGCAGATAAGGGAAGGTCCGAATTTATTTAAATAAGTTTATTACATAAAAGAATTATGAACAAACTAGATTTTCGAAAACAATTTTACACGGAACACTTATTTATGACTTTGAACTTTGACTATTAACTAATTTCCATTAAATTTTTTGTTTCAAAAACTTAGTTAAAAAAAAAACAGTAATTTTTAAAACGACAGACCATAGTACTAGTTATTTAAAAAAATATATATATAATTACATTTTCCGTATCAAGTTAGTTAGGAAAGGTTGCACAACCATGTCTATTATAATCTTTTTTGTGACCCGGGAAACTGTTTATGCTTTCCTTGTCGGATAAAACAACCGTACGCTTGACAAGATATCGACACTCAATTACGGCTACGTTAGGTTACTGCTTGTTTTGGCACTTTGTGGTTTATAGATATATCATGGTTTCTATTCAGACAGGATGTCAAAATGGCCGCATGCGGAGAATTGATACTCTAAATTTAAAATCGATGGTGATCTCTTATCTAGCAGAATAAAACTTTAATATTTATGAATTTGTGCTTTTTTATACATAACGAACATAATATCAATTTTTCATTTTTTTGCGAAGTTTCCCTTTAAGGGCAATAACTCATATAAAGAGGCGACGGATGATTTTGTCCTGGCCTCATTTGTAGATTTTGTCAGTCTAATCAGTTTCGCTATTTACAGTTTCTCTCTATCTGCTTTTTTTCAAAATTAGGTGTACATCGTCATTTCAAAATAACTACTATAAAGAGTCGATCGACGGTTTCTGCCTTTTGACCTATTCTTAGATTTTGTCAATCTAATCAGTTTTGCTATTTACAAATTTCTTTTATCTATTATAGTTTTCAAGATGATAGCCAAAATCGTCGTTTACGAAAAATAACTCCCATAAGAAGTCGACCGACGATTTTGGCTATGCTGATTCATTTGTAGATCTTATACTATTGATAATTTTTCTGTTATTTACAACTTCACTAGAGTTTCTTCCTAAGTGTGTCACTGAAACGTTTACGTTGTACTTATTTTTGTCTGTATTGGTGCAGTTACTTGTGGTTTGGAATTATTTTTGATAGTGCTTGTTATCTTTTTTGTATAATGTATAATAGCTAAAAATTGAAGGTACGTTAGACAAATTGTCTGATAATTCAGCAATCTAATAACTCACCCCAAATTATTATACAGAACATTAAACAAAGAACATCGATTTTTTTATCAACAACATTCAGTGTGACCTTCGAACTTTACATCAACATTCAGTGTGACCATCGAACTTTACATCAACATTCAGTGTAATGTTCCTATCAATAATACTACAAAATGCATTAAATTTTTTATAATTATATACGAACAAACAAACCCGTTTACATAATTAAAGCTTAATCTAGAAAGTTTTATAATACTTTTACTGAAATACAAGAATAGCCTCTTCAAATATCAAAAAGTTCATCTACACTGGTCATTCCGAATGATTGTGGTGCCCTCGCTGATCCTATATCTTTTCCTGTAAGTTTTGAACCAACTATATATTCTTTTCCTAGTTTCTGTTGTCCCCATGCAAGTATTTCATCCATGGTTGGGGTAGATACACCCGCTAGATCGGCAATTCCTTTCATAACTACCATTCCAAAAGGTACGTCTTCAGATGTGTACCGATAGTTGAAATTTGGGACATAACCCTCATCAGTTTTTGTCATTGGATGTACCAGACCGTCATATGCTTTATTCGTTCTCATGGCCATCATTAGGGAACTTTTGTCAGTTATCTGATCTGGATAATGAATTTTAAACCAATCGAACAAATGGATAACCTCTGACATGTCAACGTCTTTTCTTTTTTGTTCGATTGCTTTTGCAGTTGCAAGCAATTCTTCACTGACCCTTGATAGAAGATCTGCTTGTCTTTCATCGACACCTTGGTAAAATAAGGGTTCCTCCTTCAATGGTTTCTCGTCCCAGTTTCCCCATCTTCCGTACATCATTGGAGGATGAACATTAGCATCCGCCATCAGATTTATTGCAACATAGTTCTTGAGTAGCTCTAATTTAGGGTATTCTCCAAGAATTCCTTGAATTGTTTCTACCACAGGAAAGGATAGTTGACATGCTTTACCCTTTAAAGATGACATGCCAAGGGAATCTTTCAGTCCGAGTATCCGGGCATGTCTCCCAAATTCAACAATTCGGCATGCAAATGGTAAAGATTCTGATGCTGCGATTGTACAACTGCTTGCTTTGTCACCAATTATGTGACGGCATTGAAGTTCAAATCCAGCTTGACCAGGGAGTCCAACAATTAGTGTATTTGGCTGTAAGTGTGGCGCAATGGCGGAAAAATACTGAGCGTGAGCAAATGCTGGAACTACAAGAAAAATAATCTGTACCCCAAACATGGCCTTAGCAGCATCTTTTGTTATAAGTGAAGGTTTCGAAAATATTTCATATTGAGTTCCATCTTGTTTGGTTATTGTTAACTTCATATTTTCATTTTCAACATGTTTAGCCCATCTCTCCGCCTCGTCTTGGAATAATGTCAGAACATGTACGTCTAAATTGTCCCGAGAAGCTGCGAGTGCAGACAAACAATGTGCTCCATTTCCACCGCCACACACAAGTATTCGTCGTTTTTCAGACATGTTGTATAATGCTGAAGAACCTAGAAAAATAAAAAAGGAATGCTTAGTGAACATTTATTTAATCAACTGTTTTTACTATATGTTATGGCTGAACTAAAGAACTAAAGGATGCTATCTAACAAAATGTTGTTGATATTGTTTTCCTTCGTGGACGATTTTGTTATTTGTGCAATTTTTTGTCGTATTTAATATGTTTCATAACTTTTTATATATCTCGTTTTCTATGGCGTTTAACGATGCATAAAAGCTAACATCTTTTTACAAGCCTAAAACTACTTGTTAATAAATCTACTTTTATATGTATTAAGCATACATCCGATATTTCTATTCAGATCATTTAGATAAACTGTTGAGACATAGATAAAATTATGTATCATTGACTGGCCACGAGTGGTTCATTTTGAACGGACCTACGCTGTAAAAGTCGTGCTTAGAAATTAAACACTTGTATTACATGTTTAGATCTAAACGTGTTTAGGATTGTGTTTAATTTCTAAACACATTTCTTATTAAGCACATAATATCTAAACATGTCTTGAATTTAAACACTTTTAATGTGTTTGAAAATGAAAGTGTTTAGAAATTAAACACTTATTTCTAAGCTAAACACGATTCTAAACACAATCCTAAGCACATTGTACTGAGACACTTTTAGATCTTAACATTGACATGTCAACTACTTGTAATGCAAAAGTTTCAAAGTCAAGGAAATCTCCATGGATATATGAGAAGGCAAATGCTAACACAACTGCATACCAAACATTAGAGGTTCCCTTTAAACTGTACAAAAAAAAAGTCAACAGACCATGACTGTGGGGCGGGGCTAAATAATCTCCATGGAAACGAGATGAGCACATGCTAAATTGTAATACAAATGTATACCAAATACCATTGATATACCACTAGAGGCTCCGCTTTAACTGACCTAATCACAAAATATTACATTGTTGACGAGGCCGCCGCCGCAGCTGGAAACAGCATGCAGTGGCCTTCGTGACCACGTCGAGGCGAGACAAAAATGAAATTCGAAATTATCAATAACGTCCAGTATATTCATTCCTGTTTGCTAGTTTATATTCGGACAAACAAATCCATTTACATTATTTGATCTTTGTCTATTACGCCTATGGGAAGATTTTTTCTTTCTCGGTAAATAAGTCCACTAGAAAGACCTTGGTAATGCAATTTCGAATATACATGGTTTATGTGTGGAACTTTGAACAGTGGTATAGTAATTCAAACTATCTAAGATATAAGAGGGGCGTGGCATAACCCCCAGGAACAAAACGACTGGTGCACTTGAAAGGTCATATCGTTGCAATTCAAAATATATGATTGTTTAAGGTGATTATCGGAACCAGTTGTGTACATGTTTATATTTATATAAAAAAATAACGATATTAGGGGCAGACAGCTAAGGTCAAAACCTATGGTGCAATGTAAAGGTTTTGTCATGAATAATATATATTTGGTTGAGGGAGGGGACAGGAATAAGATTCAAAATTATTATTATAAATGATATGAAAGATGCAGAACATATTCTCCGGGGACAAAGCATATGACACACTAGAACGATCTTATCATGGTAACTAGGAAAAAATATGGTTTTGAGTGGGTATCTTAATCATTTTTGCGATATTTAGCAATTCATAATATGAGGAGCCGGTGCATTACCCTCCCCCCCCCCCCCCCCCCCCCCCTCGGGAATTATGCTTGTGCATTGAAAATTTTATCCGTGGAAAGCAAGAATGCGGTTTTAGGTAGGACAAACAAAATTAAAAAAAACTAATCAAAGATAATTATTAGACCTTGAGGTCTAAAGTCAATTACAAAGGGCACTTTTATTGATACGGGACTCGTCGACTTAAGGTGTAGCGCCCATGTAGCATATGTCACAGGATAAAAAAAGTTTTGACCCAGTTTTACTTAAAGGACCCGAAAACTACCCTTAAATCGCACTGATAAGAAAGTACTGAATGGGGAAAGTTTATCTCGTTACACAAATAGTAATGTGATTAGGCCAAATAAAAACACATACACATATATATATATATGTGTGGGTTTGGTTTCTTCCTTAAGAAAAAGGTTAGGTATGAAGGATTTCCTCTTTTTTTTATTGTGGAATTTTTGTTTACCTTGAGTATAATGGCAGACCTCAAATTTCTTCCCGTGTGTAAACCTTAATCACGAGTACCTTTTTTATCGGGCCTTTGTTTACACTAATATCTTATATACACAAGACAACGTACTGACAAAATATAGTATTTGGTTTGTAAAGTTCTGAAAATAATATTTTGTACAGATTACGTGCCGACATACACACGTGAGAACAACATATGCCTCGATTTTGTAGCAGTAAACAGTTATTTATCATTGTTACCAATATTCACAAACTATGTGTGAATCTATTATAACACATACAAGATTTTCAACTATGTGTATATTTACACCAAGATGTCGTTAAATGAAATTTGATACCCTACATTTGTCATGTCTTTCAATAACATATGATCAAATCTGGACCGCTGAAAGACCCTCTCCTAACTTTGATAACTATCATTCTACATTGACAATAATATCTTGGTGTAAGTTAGATACATCCATTCGGGAAAACGACCTCAAGGTGTATCTAATATTTGTATGACGGGTACGTTAAATTAGATTAATATAAAGATCATCAACTTACCTTAGGAAACCTTACTGATTGCTTCAACCTTCAACCGTCCTTATAGCAATGTCAAAGTCACAATCGATACTGGGGAGGATTTATCAATCAGTTGCAGACGACTACGCTGGCTCTTTATGATAAACGAACATGTATAAAATGCGATGTTGACATTATAATAGCTTAATTCCTCTTTATCACCTTTGAGTTGTAGTCCTAAAGCATATGACTTCACATTCTTATTCAGTTTTTAACGTTTTTATACTGATATTTTCATTTTTTTGAAGGCACATTGATAATAAAAAAATAGTAAATAATAAAAAAAAAAGAAGCAAAATAAGTAAAAAGAATAAATCAAAAATAAATAGAAATAGAAAATAAATGCTCCCAAGGTCATATGTTATGGGACTACTTTGAGTTGATCCGTGACTCATTTTTACTCGAACTGGAGTTATTCCGAAACTTTTATAACACCCAACAGCTTTTCTTCTTTCCCAAATCCAAAAAAGGAATAATTCTTTCAGTTCTGGAAGGTCATTTTACATACACTGTACAAAAAAAAAGTTATATCAATTCTTTTATTGCTGTTCTTTTGCCTATTATAATAGATACGTACAGCTATTATAGAAATACAAGAAATAAAGGAACGGTTGGTGTTGCAGAATACTCATTTTCATCCTGTCTTGGGCAAAGTTATTATTATTAAGCTCTTACCAGGCCAGAATATTCATTTTCAAAATCCTCCTGCCCCTCCCCCTTCCCCCACCCGAAAGTCAAAAGGTTGTCCCCTAACTCACATTGACAAGCTTTGTTCTTCCAATGATGAGAACAACCTCTTGATTACTAATATTTGTGTTCTTACAAGTATTAAAGACAAAAAAAAAAAAAAATCGCAAACGAGTAAATAGTATGCATTACATTTTCCCAAATGAGAAAAAAAAAGGAATTCGTGCATAAAGGAAGATGGAGAGACAGTTTGCAATGTTTATAGTGACAACTGTGTTTACATAAAAATATTTGTGATAACGGAAGTTGTAAACTGTCTACAACAAGTATTGCCCCGAGTGTGAATCACGCTTATCCAACGAAGAACATAATGAAAGACAGACTACTTTCTAAAAAATGCAAGGTTCATGTAATACAAAGCTTTTATATTAAAAACTAGCACTTTGCTTTAAAAACCTTTGAGGGTTCTTTTTCCAGACTTGGTCATAAACTGAGGACATAGTTGCGCGGATAATAACATTGCTTTCAGATATGATATATTTTTGGACTTTTAGTAGACGAAGTATGCTAAGAGCCAATATTTGGCCCTTAAAGGGGCATTAGCTGTCAAATTCATGTTCACCGATTTGACTCAAATTCTCATATTTGATTTATAACATCCAAATTACAAAAAGTCGAAAATAAACAATTAACAATGCATGGACTCGATAATATGTATCAACATTTCGTGTGTATTTTTGTCTAGACGTCATCTAATTGACCATCGAGATGACCTCCGAAGACTGCCGACGGTCATATAACCCGATATAAACATAAATATAATAATTAAATAGCGGCCACGTGCAATTGGATTTTTCTGGGTCTGTTTGATTTCATATTGGAGGTTAAAAAGTATGTTTATCATCGTTTTTACCTATATAAGAATGAATTTTTGTGGATCGAATCAGTCAACCAAATGGTTCATCCTTGTTTCACTGACTTTCAATGTTGACATTCTTTTCCTTTTAATAGCTGAATCCATGCGTTACCCATCTCCAGCTAAGAGGTTAAATTGAAGGTCACATGAATACGGATTCAATGAGGTCGAATTATTCAAATTATGCAAGTGAATAATTCATCTCCGATGTTTCTTAGCTTTTTTTGACAAAATTGAACCAAATTGGCTGCTATTATTTCACTATTTCATTTTCATTAATGATTGAACAAAAAAAAAAAAATCATATTTCAATTTTTTTTATATCCCGTTGCTAATGCCCCTTTAAATAACAAAAATAGTAAAATCCTACATCCTTTCAAAATTAGGTTAGTTCATTGATAAAGGAAAAGGCCTATTAAAATCTTTACACTATTGTACAAAAATGTCAGTTTTGATGCCACTGTGGCGTTATAAACATGTAGAAATTTACTTTTTTGACTTAAAATGACTATTCTACGTGTAGTTTTTTGGCAAAATTAAGTATGATCCAAGACCTTACCCCAAATAACATTAACATCTTTGTATAAGACATCTTTTTGGGAAAAGTCTAAGCTCATATTCAAATATGAAGGACTAGCTCTCAAAATGAGGTCATTTTGGCGGTTTTGCATAAAAAAGCAAGATGTTTGAAGTCCTAAAGCAAGTATATAAGGATAAAAATATCAATATGTGTCAGATTTACTTTATGGAACATCAGAGGGGTGTTATTTGGTATATTTATTATACTTTTTGATTTTCTCATTTTAGGGGGCAAACAAAGTGGACTGAATCATACCTTCGTTTTATTTTTTGTTGCATTTATCACAAGTAAACGCTTCGACACGCAGAAGTTCCATTCAGTATTCTAATATAATGACCAGTACATCTCTAATTTTGTATTGTCAGATCTGCTGAACTTAAATTGAATAAGAACTGTTGTATCAGGTCATTATCCTTTCGTGTATAATATATATATAATAGAGAATAAATTTTTATGGTTAATGACTAATGAATTAAGAAAGTTATGTTTTAAAAGTTGTATCAAATATCATATGTGAACTAAAACCCACATATGAAATATAAGAAGAATGGAGTTGTCTCTCTTTGTCCAAATCTAGCTGGATATCCTCAATATAAAAGAAAGAAATATATTATACATAAATGTTGACATTATTTTTCTTTCTCTATTTTTTCAGATTGAGTTAAAAGTGTTTTTATTTCATACAATCAATACAATTATTACTCTAATAAACCATTATTGTTTAGTTTGTTTATTATGTTATGAATAATTACATTTTAATTAATCTGCCCTTCATGGGGTAATGGTTAATAAAATTATGTGTGTGTGTGTATCTGTTTGTCTTTTTGTCGTCTTTCGTTTTTTTTGACATATCCCCTTGGTATCTTCCGCCTCTTTATTAATTGCTGCTTTGATTCGTCATTTGCCATGACTAAATTAGTCAGGTATTGTGTTTTTCTGTATGTAAAGTCGTAAATCATCAGCTAGTCACACCAAGAAGCAAAATGTCAGACATCTACTTCATGTTTGCCGATACTTTGGTTTTCAATATTTTTAATGAAAACACATATTGTTGTTCCACTTTTCTCATGTATTGCTTAACAGAATGAATGACGTCATATATTGGTCTGCAGCTTGACGTTTGAGCGCTTCTACTAGATCTAGGATCTGTCAGACAGCCACTATCAGTTTTCCGATACGTCGAATTACGTGGTGGGGTATACTAAGCACGATACCGCGTGTAATTTCTTGCTTGTGCAGAAAGTGAGATACTGATAGACCCGAACCCGGGACAAGAAAACGCCGAAAATTTAACCCGGCGAACTGAAATATATACACCGCGAAAATAAACCACTTTACAGTAATCAGTATAACTCCTGTTTCTATGACCAAGCAGCCAAAGTGTCGATATATCAGATATCAGACTAGCTGTTCCTTTCGGACACCAAGGTTGTGAACATTGTTTGTCAGATATCAATGTTTATTGACTTATCAACGGTTTTCATCAGTGACAGTTTGCAAAATAATTATGTGCTATTTCGTTTTAACTTCATTATCCTTCAAATTGGACTTTTTCTGTAATTCAGAAAGATTATTTTGAATGCCAGATTCTTAACTTTTGATAATAAGACAATTCTACATATGTATCTAAAAATAAGATAAACGAATATTGCCCCCTAATCATCACTTAAAAATAACTTTTAATGGTGATCGTATTTGTTATGTAATCATCTGTCAGATTCCCCGAAACTTTCAAGTGTGTCTTTTTGTAAAACTGCAATAAGAATATACAGGTGTCTGTTTGAGTTACTTCTCTTTGAACATTTTACGTAACAGAAACAAGACAAATGATAACTCTAATCTAGATGTCTACCTTTTAAAGGTTGTACGACTTTGCCCCCAGCAGAGCTATAGGGCACTTTAAATTTTAATTGGATTTGAACTTTTTGTTCCACCGACATATTTCCTGTCTTTTTTATTAAAATATTTACGTTGGCATCAATAACTATATATATTTTTCAAACAATTCCCGTGTATTACTATTCATATCAGTACACTAAGGGATTGACCATTTAACTTCAAAAGGGGGGTTATTGTTTTTTCCTAAAAAAAATTTCTGATCCCCAATTTTATGAGAAAAAATATATTGTGATCAAGCAGATGACAAAATTATGTTCTGATTCCTGATTTTCCGAATACCGTATATAATAGTGCTAATTTCGAAAAAAAATATTTGGGTGATAGCGTTGAAAAACTAAATAATTTTCTAACTCAGAACTTTGATTTGTAAATTGTTGGTTGCTTGATGTCCTGTTGCGCTGAATACAATATGATTTAACAAAAGGCAACCACTGACGAGACTCTTGGCTTTAGACAGGCTCATCAACATGTGACGGGATTACAGTATTTTGGGAAAAGATGTACGACTGATACCGCTGTCAAAGCTACCGACTTCAAGCGGAAACAATATAGCGCTTTATATCTGCAATATGCGTCATCTTGACACAGATCATCACATATTATACTTGATCTGCGCGTTTGTAAAATTATGTGCGTGTGCTTAATATTAAGAAACAAATATGATTGGAAGAAGCAAAACGAATATACAAATTGGTCGAAATATGCTGTTTTGATTAACGTGTCGACACTCCCTCTTTTAATTTTGCATATCTGACAATACAGAAAATTTACTCTAAATGTAACCCGATGTTTAATATGAGCTTTGGAAAAAGGCATGCGTAGTTTTCTTGTACACATTTTATTTAAAAGCAATCTCTCGATCAAAATATTTCTAAAAGACCAATAATTTTCCGAATAATATTTTAAGAAGCTTAAAAAAGGCAAAGTTGACCTCAGCTGGATTTATCTATTCTATTTAGGTCCTTTTTACTCATATAAACCCTCAAGTTTTCATTTGTTTTAGTAGCGCGATTTGTTTACGTTAATTGGAACCCATCCATGGTCATTTGTGGCACATATATTGATATTTTTAACAGTTTGCCATTTCTTTATTGACTGTTACGTGATCGTTTCCAACGGCAAATATTACATGCATGTTGAGGACGAAAACGAATTAACAATTAATCGACCGGTATGTATTGCGGACAATCTAACTTCCAATTAAAAAAGACACAGACATTTTGCCTTGCTACAAGCCATCAAAAAGTTGTTGCAAGAGTTCTTGAACGTGCGGAAATCGTGGAACTCTTACTATACGAGGCAACCAATTCTAACAAAGATTAGATATTTTGGGTTATTTTTAACATGAACATCATGATGCAAGCTCTTCTTGGGTATATCTTATATAACCCTATAACATATAGCACATACAATATGCAAGAGGTTGTCGCTGATATGCTACAATACATAAAAAAGGATAAAATAAATCGCCGAAAATACTGAACAATACAACAGACAACATCAACCACCAACACAAAATTCCTAAAAAAACCCAAACCCAGACATACAAACAAAGACACACACAAGAACGAACAACACATGGTCCATGATTCGGTACAGGCACAACACGTGTAGGGGTTAAACGAGTTTTACAGTTGAAATCAGAAAATGCAGTCCTAACAGGTTTCTTAAAGTCATGTATGTTGGTATTGATTTTAATATCTTCACAACACACTGGTTAATCAAGGTTTTGTTAGCTTGTCGTCTTTCTGATGATGTTATTTACGCGGAGAGAATAATGTTTAAGCTCACTCTCTAAGAAGTTAACAGTGTAATTCTATTATTTGTTGTGTAGAGGTATGTTTTTGGTGCAATTCGAGTAACGACCAATCACTTTTAACATGACAAAAGGCGATAACATGTCAGGAGTCTTTTTTTTTTTAATATTTATTAATTTTTTATCAGATATTTTGTTCTTATAAACTTCTCAATAGTACAGTAAATTTTAAATTTCTATCGCTTTTGTAAATATCGTTTATGCTTTTTTTGTTTTATTTACAGGCATTTCTGATTGAAAACCTATTAACTTACTATTTCGGATGATGCTCCATTGAACAAGGGTTTCGATTATGGATCTATAGTAGTTCTGGAAGACTTTGATAGATTGTGATTGATAGTTGGTGTTTAACGCAACTTTCAGCACTGTTGGCTATATCTTGGCGGTCAGTTTTTATTGGTGGAGGAAGCCGGATTGCCCAGAGAGAACCACCGACCTTCGGCAAGAAATCTGACCATCTTCGTCAATTAAGATTGGGGTCTAACAAACCTGCCGCGTGCGGAGTTCGAAATCAAAGCCTCAGTGTTTTACAGGCTAGTGATACCATAGTTGAACTACTTAGACGACTCGGACACCAAGGCCCATGGAAGACTTTGATTGTGATAGGATTCCATACAAATATGAAAATAACTTAAGAAATTTTATTTAGGCATTTGCCTTTAAATAGACATAGAGAAAGCATTTTCCTGAGCTCAAACATATCCTGAAAAAGGAATTAATTTTAACAACATTACATGTTAAAAAGTTCATCTATAGTATGCAAGCCATAGGATTGAGGAGCTCTTGCAGAAGCGATATCTTTCCCAGTAAGTTCCGAACCAACAATGTATTCTTTGTCAAGCTTTTTCTGTGCCCATGCAATGATTGTGTCAATTGTTGGTGTTTCAACTCCTGCAATTTCAGCAATCCCCTTCATTACTACAAGACCAAATGGTACATCTTCTGATGTATAACGGTAAGTAAAATCGGGAACAAATTTCCCATCCTCAGTAGAAGTCATTGGGTGTACAAGTCCATCATATGCTTTATTTGTTCGCATTGCCATCATTAAAGAACTTTTGTCCGAAACCTGATCTTTATAATAAATTTTGTACCAATCAAAGATGTGAATTACTTCTGACATATCACATCTGTTCCTTAATTTCTCAAGTTCTTTTGCAGTTGCTAGTACTTCGTCACTGACTTTCGACAATAGTTCTGCCTGCCTGTCGTCAACACCTTGATAAAATAAAGGTTTTTCGGGTACTGGGGTTCCGTCCCAGTCTCCCCATTTACCGTATAACAATGGCGGGTGAATAATAGATTTTGCCATTAAATTAACTGCTATATAATTTTGAATAACTTGAATTTTTGGCTTTTCTCCAAGAATTTCCTGAACTGTTTCTACGACTGGAAATGAAAGATTACATTCGCTACCAGTTAAAAAGGACATTCCTAGTGATTCCTTAAAACCAAGAATTTGTACATGCTTTCCAAACTCTAATATTCGGCATGCCCATGGTAAGGATTCAAGCGACGCAATAGTGCAGGTACTTGCCTTTTTGCCCAACATACTCCTGCATTGAAACTCGAATCCTGCCTGACCTGGTAATCCCACTATTAACGTATTTGGCTGTAGGTAAGGTGTCATAGTTGTAAAATATTGTGCATGAGCGAATGCAGGGACAACGAGGAAAACTATGTCAACTCCTTCCACGGCTTTTGCAGGATCTTTTGTGATAATCGATGGTTTGGAATGAATTTCTGATTCGTTGCCATCGTTGTAAGTCACAGAGATTTTTAAATCATTGTCTTCCAAAAGTTTTGTCCATCTCTCAGCCTCGTCTTGAAACAGTGTTAAAACATTGACGTCCAAATTCTCACGAGAAGCTGCGAGAGCAGATAAACAGTGTGCTCCATTACCACCGCCACAAATAAGTATTCTACGTTTAACAGGTCCTGCTGGCATCACTTCGGTAACTGAAACGAGAAAAATAAAAATACATATAAAGAAACATGTTTTCATCCGTGGGTATTTAAATATTCGTATCAATATTCGGTAGATAGCTTAGATATCATGAAGAATACACCATAACAAGTATAACAGGGAGTTATAAAAGTCTTTTTTTTTCACTCACTTTTCTTGACAAGTACGTTTTTCCTTATTGTTTGTCCTAAATTTTCGTGGAATCCGCTTTTAAATTCTATTAATAAATGATGTCCATGGTATCTTTTCACTTATGTAACGGATCAAAATGTTGTTGGTAAAAAGCAAATTTATTTTACGGGTATCAAAACATTGATCTTTTATGAAAAGTAAAGGAAAAGCTTTATCTCGACTTGTCACATCACAAACATATAAAGAAATATTTTTGTTGGAACTGAATACAGTTTCTTAATTAATATTATATTGAAAGGTTTTGTTAACCAGCTTGACCATCATTACTTTATCTAAAATGACTTGAGACATGCCTAACAATGCTGTAGTGTTGCTATTTTACCTGCAATGTATCAATAGGTTTGTTATTTATTTTAGGACCTTGCTGTTACAAATAAGCTAATTTAGACATCAAGGATTCTTCTTTGTTAAGAAAACTGTATGATAAAGATTTTCGTGCGCACTACGCGCGTTTCTGGAACAACCTCCACCAGTAACGCTAGATACCATAATTAATCTTTTTTTAAGTTAGAAAAAAACAACCCTAAATTGAAAAGCCAAACACCGTTCAAGGTCAACTTGCTCAAAGATCTCACCTAGCCAAAGTTGGTAGTTCTTAGACATTTCAAATTTTTTATATTGATTTTTATTTACCGTTTTTTATATATACATGTATATACAATTTTAGCATCCATTATGTATATACAATTTTAGCATCCATTTTTAGTTGTAGTTGGAATCGAAGTATAATTTAGAAATGACACAATAAATTTATCATTAAGCAGAAGTTCAATATCTATTGTCGAAATGCACATCTGATGCAGAAAAATAGATACTGTTAATGTTATCAAGTGTTCCTTTACATGATTTTTCTGATTGTACTATTTATACTTTTTCAATTTTCTTTTTAGTAGCGGCGACCATTTTTATGATGCTTTGAGCAGTAAACATTGCTCTGAAAAACGTCCAAAATGTACAATACTTGGTAGCATTTGGCCAATTACAGATTTTTCAGCTTTATTCTGATTGATTTTCTTTAACTTGAACGAGTAATTTTTGCCCGTGACAAAAAAAGCGACTGGACAACAAAAACACAAAATAAATAAATATATATAACAAAAGGCTAGCAAAAAAAAAAACAACAAAAAAAACTAAAAAACACAAAAGTTGCAACTAAAATAATAAAAAAACTTAAAAGGCGTAAAAGTTTATATTGCAGGAAAAATGAGACAGCGCAACCTAGGTTTAAACTACGGTGGCATTGTTTAATTGCACCAATTAAGTTAGGCATATTTTCTTATATTATATGGTACAGAGAATATATCAATACAGGAATCATTCCTTATTCTGATTGTGTAGGTTTTGTTGTCATACAATATCAGCTTTCTCATAACACATATTAAGCTGTAAAAGTAACGGCGAATCTTTTCCGACAGTGTTCTCTTCCCTTTGAATGAAATACACTAGTGTAAAACTTCTATGACGTATTTTTCCTAGGGTTTCATTTCCGACGGAATAAATTAAGAAGTGTGGAGAAGGAATATACTAGTGCAATGTACCGTAAGTTGAACTTACTAAGTTCTACAAGCCGGAATGAAAGTACGCTACAGGTGTCAGAACACAAAATCACCTTCTCCAATTTAGAACATAAAAAATAGCCCTACTCTGACAAAAACATAGTGCTTTTTATATCATTGTTTACTTGAACTAGCAAATGAATTTATGAATGCAACTTTTTTTTATTGAGAAATATATTTTGATAATTTTGAGCCAAAATTTAGTTTTGCATGCGCTTGCAACGTAAATGTAGGGCAGATTTTTAGTACCCCAACGTACAATTGGTATTAGTAGGGGACTTTCTGAACATTATGTATCACTACAAGACTTTAAGCATTGGTTGAAAACTGGAATGAAGATACCTGATACGTGTATGATTTAGGATCACACATGATAAAAAGATTGTGTTTGATTTGAATGGTATTTCTATATCATGTGAGAATGAGGTAAAACTACTAGGAGTTACAATTGATTTTAAATTAAACTTCAATTTGCATATCAAATATCTGTAAAATGGCTGCAAGACAATTAAATATTTTGAAAAGAATTTGGAAACACCTAAACAAACTTAGTAAACTTACAATTTATTACTCATTTGTTATGTCTAACTTTAGTTACTGTCCATGGCGTGGCATTTCTGTGGGGAACAAAATACAAGAAAAACAGAAAAAAAAGAAGAAACGAGCGCTTCGTTTTATTTATGAAGACCATCAGAACTCGTACGAAACACTCCTGCAGATTTCAAACCTTCCATCACTAAAAACTCGTAGAGCGCTCTCAATTGACTTGGAGTCCTTTAAAATAATCAATAAAAAATGTCCTTTATTTATTCAAGATCTAGTTGTTATAATAAAAAATTCATATAATTTCAAGTATGTGAACACTGCTGATGTACCTAGACCAAGAACCTCAAGTTAGGGTAAAAGATCTTTTAGATTTGAGGCAGCACAAGTATGGAATTCCCTTCCCAATGAGGCCAGAACTATGACCTCTTTTGACCAATTTAGGAATTATATAAATTCCTTGTGTGATGGTCAAAAATGCAATTGCAATTCGTGTCGTTTCCATCCAGTGCTGCCTCATAGTTGAAATTTCTTTCTTTTTTATTTCTGGCCTTTTGCTCTGCTTTTTTATGCATTATTATATATAGCTGATATTAAATGCCAGTGCTTTATTTATTTATTTGTGCTTTTTAGTTTTTTTTTAGTATTTTATGATATTTCAGTGATTGCTGGTTCCCTCATTCAATGCCCAAAGAGGTGTTAGCCGCATGAGCATTAACCCTGGAGGTTCAGAAATCAAACAAAATTTGCTTTAATTATATTTGCATGGAAATTTTATTTTTATTATTAGTATTTGCATGAAGCTGCATGGTATGATAGTCGGTTAAAAAGCTCATCATAGCTCATGTTTTCTCTGTTATTACGTATATATATGCCGACTTTAAATACAATTTACTTACTTACTTACTTACTAGGATAAACATGGTATATATGAAGTTAAACTTAAACTATTTAGAGAGCTGTGAAAATTGAAAAACTTGTGTTGAATATATAGGGATTTTGAATTTGTGGTTTGATATCTACATAAAAATAGCGTGAATAGTGAGAAAGCAAAATTATTAGGAGTTAAACATGTCATCGTCTAAATGATATGATTTGGAGACAGCTACATAGAAATTGATTCATCTTAAGTAGCGGGCTTTGGCTGTTTCAATCAGGCCTGGGTTTTAAGAGATACTCAGAATATAACACGCTATTCAATTGACTGATATGTTTAAAATATTACCTATCAGGTTCAATAGTTTTTCACTGTGGCATACACAAGTTGTTAGGTTTTTTTTTGTCTTGGCAAATATAAAACTTTTCTTTGAGAGCCTTAAATCCAAAATGCCTGCATCAGTACCGTAACGTTGCTTGTAAAAACAAATGAAATCAAATAAAAATATTAAATTTACATTTTCATTATAAATTGGACCATCATCCCTTTTTATTCATATAATTGGTGAAAAAGTATCATGTTTTTTGTTTTTGATTGCATAAATTAGTTAATTAGCTTTCAATTTAAACAGGTTAAATGATTAAAATAATTTTAAAAATTAGATTAAATATACATGTTTTGAGGGGAGACAACACTGTAAACATCCTGTTTTTTTGGCAGTGAAAATTGAAAACTTATTTGCAGCCACTGTAGCTCTTTTCGAAGCAGGAAACCGTACCCTGAAACATGATTTTTATTAAAGGCCAGGTAAAAACCTATGAATTTCATACAGTTTTGATTATGGGAAATGTGCCTGTATCATGTTTACATGGATATGCACATGAGCTGATTTCAGGTTTTTTATGTTCAGATTAGGCAACTTTTTCCCCATTTTCTCTGGATAGAACTTTTTTAATATACTAAAAGTACACTATATTTTTATTTCAATATAAACTAGAGACAGTTCTGATTCCAGTGATATCTAGTTTTATACAAGTATCTTTATTAACCATTCCACCACTAAGGGTCACTTAGACATGGTCCCTTAAAATATGACGTCATAGAAAAAAACTGTTGATTGCACCCTTTACAAATAGTCTTCTCCGTCAAGCACTTAATGTAAGAGAAAAGACTGCGACTCATTTCACCACCACAAATGGTAAATAATCTAATTTTTCTTCATTTAATGCTTTGTTTGGGGTTTCTGTTGTAATTGATTGGAAGCCCGGCAAAATTGTTCTTAATCTTTAGATCATTAAGTTATCATTACCCGATTTTTATATTAACCTTACATTATGTATCCGAATCAAAATCTAGATGAAGGATTTTTATAACGAATCCAATCAAGACTTTATGAAATCTGATATACTTCCTTTCATAGTAATCTACATTGCTTTTTGCACTATAAAATATAATTGTATTTACCATTTTGTTAAATGTAACGAATGTATGCTATTCGCTTCTCACATTCTAAGCATTTTACCATGATATCTTGGACCTCCTCTGGCTTATTTACAGGCTATACATTGAACATTTTACCTAGTAAACCTTTATTATATCTCAATGTTTATCTCAAATACACTTCCAGAAATATATTTTGGCAAACAAAAAAATTCTCGTTCAGGAAATGCATGAAGTATTTGTAATATAATGTTAGGTTGGGTTTCCTGTTTGAATTGTTTTACACTAGTCATTTTGGGGCCCTTTATAGCTTGCTGTTCGGTGTGAGCCAAGGCTTGAGCCGTGTTGAAGGACGTACTTTGACCTATAATTGT